TCAAACTATTGCACACCAACAAATGTATTCAAGCAAAAGAAACCAGACAACTTATGTTTTATTTCGACCATGTCTTGTCCTCTCCTTGAAAAGTGAAGCAANRGAATGAGGAGCAGCAGCCTTTGTGTGTGCATGCACCCTCAGTTTTAGCCCAGAAGAGTAGAACTTACTTAATATATTCATGTTTACGTGCTGTCCAGAAATAGCACTTAAATGTTACTGATAAAATAATATTAGCATTTACCTTTTTTGTACATATTGATGTGTAATATAATGCGTATTGTTTATTTAGTAAATTCTAGTAGTTCAGAAATTTTGATATTTTTTGTAAAATTTAAAATAATAATTAAATAAATGTTACTACACCCAAAAATCCCTTTTTTTCAGTGTAGAACTGCCTGATTATGGATTGAATAAATGTATGGACCCAAGAAAGTTAATATCATTAATGAAAGTTATGGTTATTACAGCTGCAGTCAATATTTCAAACAGCCTCCGGGTCCGTCTCACTAAAACCTCTTTTCAAAGCTTGTTGGATTAATTTCACTGAATTGCTTTGTTGCTCAAACCTGAGACTCTAAAGACTCAACTTTGAGCAAAAGTAACACTATAGTTGAGTTTAGACTTTACTCCCTGAATATAAACTGTTTATTTCAGCAACAACAAAAACGGAAACAAAAACAAATATAGAATTAATATTAATCAGCCTTGGCGCATGGAGGATTGCAGCAGCCTGATTTTACTGTCAAGTCAGACAACACAAGTCAGAGCTTTGCATCCTGACTAGTACAGTATTTTAGAAAAAAAGAAAGTTTTAAACAATTTCAGAAGTCTCCTGCTCAAATTTTATCAGTGCTGGTGTTGGACCATCGATTCCACTGCAGATTTTTGGTGCCATGTCTTCAAATCATCCATTCAAGGATGCTGAAACTGAATTAGTGWCTTGTTGAAGCATCAGCAGGAACTGCACTGAACAGGTTCCCTGGTGAAATATGAATATGCTTTTTTTTTTTTTTTGCCGTACAGGGATTCGAAAAGTCTTGATCTCTGTGTGAACACAACCCTACACACATGACCCCACATCTTTCCCTGCAACTTGTCAGCACAGTCCCCAGCCTTTGAATTCCCCTGAAGATTTTTTTCCCCCTGTACAATGAAATGGCATCGCCTGCAGACATCGTACCCCATCTTTCCCTCTGGTTGAAACGAAGCTGACTTTAGAAAGCACAATGAAAACTCCCACCCCCCTAGAGAAAACAAGTTGCCACTCAAAGTGATTTTCCCTCTCACCCTTGATACAGCTCTGTATTTCACATCCTAAAATAGTCGCACCGCCGCTGTGATCAGAATACGCAGCTGTTGAATGTGCGTGTCGCAGAGCGAGGGTTGATTTCTTTCTTTATTTTTTTCCTCTCTGACTTGTCTTTGCCTGTTTGCTTGTGAACTTGTGTGTTTTCATCAGTCGATCCTGCGGAGCTGACTCTGTCRGGTGAGATGGTGGCCGTCGAGGGGCAGGAATTGACTCTGAGCTGCTACGCTGCCTCAAGTAATCCGCCCGTCCACATCCGCTGGTGGTTAGGGTCCAAGGAGCTCAACAACACAGTCGTCACGGTGGAAGAGGTTGGACTTCACGGCATTCAAAATAAACAAGAGTTTATCAAGGCAGACAGACAGGATTTAAATCAGTCATGTCCTAAACAGTCAGGTTTGACAGATTTAACTAATTTTAAATAAACACTCAGAAAGGAATCTTTGGATGTCAGTGGTGGGGAACCAAAAAGTTAGCTTTGCTAACTCATAATCCACTAACTCAAAATACTGCTTCACTAATGCTTAATTACTAGACATGCAAATATATTAGTGTACGGTGAAGCTAAGCTAACAGCTAAATTAAAGTGACCAGATTTCTGAAATTAAATCCAGAAMGAAGGTTAGCAGAGCGGCCAGCGTRATAGCTGTCATTGTGCTAATTGGTGCACAATTCCAAAGCATTAAAGCACTAATAGGGGAACTAATTTTCTGATTARTGCTTTAGGGCTKTTGCTAATTTCTTAATTCTTTAGTGGATTAGCACTTGCTAAATTTATGGACTGAATTTAAAAGCACTAATTTAGTTCWTTAAATRTTATTGATCAACATTATTGTGAACAGCTGAGGGTGAAAGCTGTCAGACGTGTTCAAATGTGTCACTTATCCACTAGATCAGTGGTTTTCAAACTTTTTTGCTTCTGACCCACAAAATAACAGTTGCAGACACTCGTGACCCCATATATTACGTGTGTAGCAAACTTTGCTAACAACTCTGCTAAACATGGAAATAAAAACTATAAACAAACTATGATAGTAATTTTTATTCATTTATGGTTATTTCAAAAAAATTGCAATAATCATGATGAAAATATTCCATTAGCTTTTTTTTTTCATTTAAATTGATGTCTAGAAGTCATCTGGGGACCTTCACTTGATGTTTTGTGACCCACAACGAGGTCCCGACTCCAATTTTAGGAACCACTGCACTAGATGAAATATTAACAATATTCTGCTCACAGAAAACATTCTCATGTTGATTTTGTGGAATGTTCCATGGGTCAGCTGGGATTTTAGTGCTTTAGAATTAGCTTTTGCTAAATTTTAAAGTGTGTTAGTGCTTTAGGGCAGTGTTTCCCAAAGTTGGGGTCGGGACCCAAAGTGGGG